AGACAACATGCTGAAACTACTGGACCTATGCCTCACCACCCACTTCACTTTCAACAGCCAAACATACAAACAAATCAATGGTACACCCATGGGATCACCTATCTCCGGACCCATAGCAGAGGCAGTGATGCAAAGACTACAAAGGACGGCCCTTCCGCTAATCCAACCAAAACTATGGATACGCTACGTGGACGACACCTTTGTCATCATTAAACGGACCAACTAGAGGAGACACACAAACTTATAAACAACACCCTCATCGGAATAAAATTCACCACAGAGGAGGAAAAGAACAAACAGCTCCCATTCCTGGACGTCATGGTAGAGCGCAAGACAAATGGGGAACTCCAAATGAAAGTACACAGAAAAACCACGCACACGGACCAGGTACTGAACTTCAACAGTGACCGTCCCAGCACACACAAATGAAGCTGCGCGTGAACACTGTTTAAACGGGCAACAACACACTGCAGCAACACAGAACTACGCCATGAGGAAGGAGAATACCTCTTCCAGGTTTTCGAGGATAATGGATATCCGAAAAACTGGGTCAGAAGATGCCTACACGAACAACATTAGGAACATACTACGCGCCCCGACACTACCCTACATCAGGGACACATCAGAACTAACCACGAGACTGCTACGACCGCTGGGCATCAGAGTGGCACACAAGCCCACATCAACCCTACGACAACTGCTCACCCGAACTAAAGACCCACTCCCCGCCGTGGACAGGACCAATGTCATCTACAAGATCCCCTGCAGAAAACCGGAAGTGAGGCAATCCAGCTCAACGGACTCCAGAGTTTAAAAACCAGGCGGGAAAACACACCGACGTTTCATTGGAGGCTGCACTGAGGATGTTACCCAGCATAGTAATGAAACGTCTGCGGAACAACAAACCAGCTCGGCGAGCCAACCAACCTCAACACCCACAACCCAAGCTACAAATCTACTCCAAAACCTTAGAGACTTTCTTAAAATATTTTGAGAAGATCTGGTCGGTTCCATAACACCCTTAAAATCTAAATATGTGTCCATCTCCTTTTGTGGTTGAGAATTCCACAGGTTCACTATTCCTTGAAAGAAGAAATGTTTCCGTATCTCAAATAGCCTACCCTGAATCCTGAGACTGCCTCCCCCTCGAATGGGGAGGCGGTGGCCAAGTGGTATTATCGCTGGCCTGTTAATCCAGAGACCCAGACAATGTTCTGGGGACCCAGGTTCAAATCTCACCACGGCAGATGGTGGAATTTGAATTCAATAAATATCTGGAATTAAGGGTCGAATTATGACATGAATCCATTGTTGATTGCTGGGGGGAAAAAGAACCCATCTGGTTCGCTATTGTCCTTTTAAGGAAACTGCCATCCTTACCCGGTTTGCCCTACATGTGACTCCAGACCTACAGCAATGTGATTGACTCTTAACCGCCCCCTGGGCAATTAGGGATGGGCAATAAATGCTGCCGAGCCAGCGACACCCTCATCCCGTTAATGAATAAAGAATTAAAAGGTTTCGGTCATCTCAACTAGACTAATCATAATCCCTGCATCTTGTCTATCCAGCCCTGTCAGAATTGTATATACATTTGAATCAGGTTTCCTCTCATTCTTCTAAACTTTAGTGAATACAGGCCAAATTCTCATCTCATGAGAGTCCTCGTCGTCCCTGGTATCATCCTGGTGAACCTCTGGTCACTCCCTCTATGAAGAGTATATCCGATCTTAAGTACCAGTTGCCTTCCTAATTGCTTGCTGTTTATTTTCATGGACTGGTGTACAAGGGCACCCAAATCCATTTGTACATCCACGCTTCCCAATATATCACCATTTAATTAGCACTTTTCCTTTCTGTTTTTTACCCTGAAGTGTATAACTTCACATGTAGCCATGTTGTACTGTATCTGCTGTGTAGTTGCCCACTCAATCAACTTGTCTAAATCACCTTGAAGCCTCCTTGCATCCTCCTCACAGCTCTCAATCCCACTCGGTTTTGTGTTGTGTCTGGTTTCTAACTGACCTATTTTTTCCTTATTTCAGTTAATATACTGAAATTTGGTCTGGTCACTGGCCTTTTTCGCTTTTAGTTTATTTACCCTTCAATGCCTTTTCTGGTAGAGGGACACAATGGGACAGAAACTTTGCCTCAAACTGATGATGTGCTTCAACATAAAGTCTAGTCTTTTACACTGGTGTTGCAATTGTTAGGCTGCTGTATATTGTACAGAGAGAAAGGGGACAAATCCAGTCCAGTAGTTCAGTTGCAGGCTCATTGTTGTGAATGTTAAGGACAGGAATATGCCATTCAACCCCTCAAGCCTGTTCTACCATTTAAAGAGATCATAATCGATCTGTAATCTAACTGCATATACTTACCCTTGGCCCATATCCCTTAATACCTTTGTTTAACAACAAATTAACTATCTCAGATTTAAAACTAACAACTGGTCTAGTATCACCTGCAGTTTGTAAAGAAAGCTCCAAACCTCTACCACCCTTTGTGCATAGAAGTGCTTCATAACATCTGTCTTGAATGTCCCTCATTCTCAGACTGTGTCCCCCAGTTCTAGAATCTCCAACCAGTGGAAATATTTTAACTGCCCTGTCTTTTCCTGTTAATATCTTGAAGACTTTGATCAGATCACCCCTTAACCCTCTAAATTCTAGAGAAAACAGGCCAAATTAATATAATCTCTCCTCATAACTTAATCCCTGAACTCAAGGTCTCATTCTTATGAACCTACATTTGTACTGCCTCCACGACCAATCTATCCTTCCTAAGGTGTAATGCCCAAATCAACACTCAGTATTCCAAGTGGGATCTGACCAGGGTTTTGTATGACTGCAACATAATTTGTGCATCCTGCTACTCCATCCTCTAGATATAAACGCCAGCATGCAGTGCCACCATGATTATTTTCTGGACCTGCTCATGGAAATTTCAAGATCTATGCACTTGAATCGTCAAGCCTGTTAAATCATCTGCCGTATTTAACTTCATACCATCTAGAAAGTACCATGATTGGTCCAAAATGGATACCCCCACACTTGCTTACATTGAAGTCCATCTGTCACAGTTTTGCCCATTCACCTAGTCAATCAATATCCCTTTATAATTTTATGATATCATCTACAATGTCTATAATGCTGTCTAACTTTATCATCAGATCTGGATAAATGACTTTGTGT